CTGCACCATCTTGCTGCCTCTAATAAAGAACCAGTAAGGCTGGTCATGCCAGACTCACCATATTTTCTTTTTCAATAAGGTTTACCAGACTGGTGATAATAATGATAATAACAATAGTAATAGTTAGCATTTATATGGCACTTTAACGTTTGCAAAGTGCTTTACAAATATCATCTTATTTGATCCTGACAATTACCCTTGGAGGTTAGGTGTATTACTATCCCCATTTTACAGATTAGGAAACTGAGGCTCAGAGAGATTACGTGACATGCCCAGGGTCACACAGTAAGTGTCTGAGGCTGGATTTGCACTCAGGTCTTCCTGATTCCAGGCCCAGTGTTCTATGCACTATGGTGCCCCCTGGCTGTCTCCACTCTATCTGCCCTGCCATTATATTATAGATGTAGTTTACCTCGATTTTAGTAAAGGATTTGACAGGGCATCAAATGAGAAAGCATTTATTAAGCACCTACTATATACCTTGCATTGTGGCAGGTGCTAGAGTACAAAGATGAAGGCAGAATAGCCTTTGTAGTCAAGGGTTTCACACTCTAACGACAAGACAAGATGGAGGGATGTGAGTTGGGCGATGGTGCAGTAGGAGCTGAGTTCTGGACACAGAAGGTCATCATTAATGACTGCATCAGTTTTTATGGAGGTCTGCAGTGGAGTGACCCAGGGATCTATGCTAGGCTTTGTGTCACTTAATGTTATTTGTTTTTTGTTTTTATCAATAATTTGGATAGAGGGACATATGGCACACTTTCCAGACCAGCAGCTGATGCATAACAGGGAGGAATGAGTAGCCCACTGGATGACAAAGTCATGATCCAGAAAGGGCTTTTTTTTTTTCATTTATGGACTAGAATGCCCCTGGGGGCCCTTCCAAACCCAATATTCTGTGAGCCCCTCCCACAGAATGCTTGCTGTTTATATACAGACTACATCAAGCCTGTGCCGAGGTTAGACTTAACAATCATAGAGTCTCCAAATCCTTAGATTTCCTAAGGATACATAGGCTGGACGTCTGATGTGGAAATAAATTCAAACCTTCCAGGGTTTCAGGGAACAGTACCCACAAAGTTTAAAGAGAAATGCCCAGGGAGCTGCTTTATTCAGGTGGCCAGAGTGGTCACGTTTTGGAATGGACAGAAGAAAGAGAGACTTTGATCATCCTTCGTCCTACATAGCTTCTTTGTCTAAAAACAAAAATTATTGATAGCTTTTGTTTTTACCATACCATGTTTCCTATTGCAGCCATCCTCTGATCTCCTCCCCAGAGAGCCGCCATCCTTTATAATAAAGAAGAAAACAAGGGTAGCAAAAGTAACCAACATATTGAAAAATGCCTCATCTAAGCATTCCATCGCCATGTCCTCCATAGTTTCAAAGGTGTGACAGGAGGTGCCTTCCCTAGCTCTTCTCTAGGGCTGGGCTTAGTCTTTATAACGTCCCGGTATTCTGTTCTGAACACTCTATCATCTTGCTTTCCGTTTACATTGTTGCAGTGAGTGTGTGCACTCTTCTCCTGTTTCTTCTGACCTCCCTTTGCATTTGTTCAATCAACAGGTATTTATTAGGCACCTACTGTGTGCTTGGGATATGAGTACAAAGAATAATCCTTACTATCCATGAGTTTACATTCTAATGGAGACAAGTGGGTGTTAAAATAGATATAGAACACATATGAAGTGAATAAATGCAAATACGTGCAAAGTAGTTAGATACAGGCAAGTTTAGGAGGGAGGGTACCAACTGTTGGGGTATCAGGGCAAGCTTCATGTAGAAAATGGTACCTGATCTGTACCTTTTTTTATTTTTATAATTTTTATTATATTATTTTAAAGTATTTTGTTTTTTCCAATTATGTGTAAAAACAATTTTTAACATTCATTCAAAAAATTTTAGTTCCAAATTCTTCCTCCCCCTCCCACCCTTACTCGCTCCCTAAGACAGCAAGCAATTCGATAAAGGATATGCACAGGCAATCATGAAAAACATATTTCCATATTAGTCATGTTGTGAAAGAAAATGCAGACAAACACACAAACATAAAGTAAAAAAAAAAATAGCGTGCTTTGATCTGTGTTCCAACTCCATCAGTTCTTTCTCTGGGGTTGGATAACATTTTTCATCCTAAGTCCTTCAGAGTTGTCTTGGATCATTGCACTGCTGAGAAGAGCTAAGTCGTCCACAGCTGATCACCATACAATACAATATTGTTGTTACCCCTGGTTCTGCTTACTTCACTTTGTATCAGTTTGTGTGAGTCTTCTAAGTTTTTCTGAAAACATCCTGTTCATCATTTCTTATAGCACAATAATATTCTATCATAACTGTATACCATAGCTTGTTCAGCCATTCCTCAAATGATGGGAATCCCCTCAGTTTCCACGTCTTTGCTATCACAAGAAGAGATGCGGTAATTTTTTTGTACGTATAGGTCCTTTTCCCTTTTTTAAAAAATCTCTTTGGTATACAGTGGTAGTGGTATTGCTGGGTCAAAGGGAATGCACAGTTTGATAGCCCTTTGCGCAAATTGCTGTCCAGACTGGTTAGATCAGTTCACATTCCATCAACAATGCATTAGTGTCTCAATTTTCTCACATTTCCTCCAACATGTTATTTTCCTTTTCTGTCATATTAGTCAATCTGGTAGATGTGAGGTGGTACCTCAGAGTTGTTTTAATTTGCATTTCTCTAATCAACAGTGATTTAGAGCATTTTTTCATGTGACTATAGATAGCTTTGATTTCTTTGTCTGAAAACTGCCTGTTCATATCCTTTGACCATTCATCAATTGGGGAATGACTTGTATTCTTATAAATTTGACTCAGTTCTCTATATATTTGAGAAATGGGGCCTTTATCAGAGAAACTTACTGTTAAAAAAATTTTCCCTTAGTTTTCTGCTTTCCTTCTAATCTTGACTACATTGGTTTTGTTGGTGCAAAATCTTTTTAATTTAATGTAATCAGAATTATCCATTTTACATCCTACAAGTTTGGTCATAAATTCTTCCTTTATCAATAGATCTGACAGGTAAACTATTCCATGCTCCCTTGATTTGTTTATGGTTATCACCCTTTATGTCTAAATCACAAACCCATTTCGACCTTATCTTGGTATACAGGGTGAGATGTTGATCTATACCTAGCGTCTGCCAAGCCACTTCTCAGTTTTTGTCAAATGGTGAGGTTTTTGTCCTGAAAGCTTGGATCTTTGCTGTTTACCAAACGCTGTATTACTATGGTCATTACCTACTGTGTATTGTGTACCTAATCTATTCCATTGATCCACTACTCTATTTGTTAGCCAGTAGCAGATTGAGTTTGAGATCTGGTATGGCTAGGCCCTGATCTCTATCTTAAAGGAAGCAATGGTAAGCAAGGAGTGTATTTCAGGCATGTGAGATGGCCAGTGAAAAGACTCAGGGATAGGAGGAGCTAGAGTAGATCATATCCATTGTTTCCTGTAGCACAGAAATATTCCATTACATTCATGTACCGCAATTTATTTGGCTATTCCCAATTGATGGTATCTTCTATTTCTAGTTCTTTGCTATAAAAAGTGCTGCTATAAATATTTTGGCATCTATGGGGCCTTTCTTTCTGTCTTTGACCCCCTTGGGCATGTGCCTATCAATGGAATCTCTGAGTCAATGGGTATGGACATCATTCTCTTCGCTTAATTCCAAAAGGCTTTCTAGAATAACTGGACCAATTCTCAGTTCCACCAGCAATGCATGAGTTTTGAATATCCTCTTCCTTAATGACTTCAACACACATTACAATAGCAAATAATAATGACGATAATGAAATAATTTGCTCCTAATTGGACAGATAGGGAAACTGCATTATGGCTGATACAAAGCATATACGAATAAAGGTAAGGAGCTTACATTGGCTATGCAGGCAGAAAGCTATGAAAATGCCACTCTTAGTAATGAATACATAACCATCTAGGATATAACCATATTAACATTAAAGTGATCATCTCACTAAAGAGAGGGACAATTGAAGTCGAGGGAGAGATATCAGCTCCTTCAGCTTTCCAGAGATGCCATGGGATGCTATAGAAAGGATTACTGTGCTGGGAGTAATTCTTACCCAAAACGTTTATTTTGGAAAAAATATCAACATAGAAGTTATAACACTCTGAGAGCCCCAAGCCAAACTTTGGGGTTACCCTGAGCCAAGAAGACCTGCCCAGAACCTTCCGGGCCCTCCTTAGTCCAGACCAATATTCCTGAAAGGGGGTGGGGGTAGGAAATTATCCCAGTTTGGGATAGGAAAGAGATGGATGGATGGTCTTTACTGGGAAGTTCCCCCTCGATCAAGTGCTCTTCACCTTTCTTGTGTCATGACCCCCTCTGGCAGTCTGGTGAAACCCGTGGATCCTTTTTCAGAAAAATGTTTCTAAATGCATAAATTAACACGCATAGGATTACAATGGAAATCAATTACATTGAAATGCAGTGATCAAAATGTATATTTTTTAAGTTCATAGATTCCAGGTTAAGATTCCCTAGCCTAAACGCTTTTTGTCATATACTTCTCAAACCTTACCTCTGAAATACCTAATTCCCTATGGTATAATCTTGTTTATCTGGCCCCTGCCTATCTATACTTGAGTTTTGCCCCATAAAGCAGACTTTCCCAAGCCACCATCAGGACAAAATGCTTGTTACCTTAACTTTTCCTCCATTTTGAATTCAACAATGTTATCATAAATAAATCCAGTTAATGAAAAAGGAAGAAGGGAGAGTCTTCCAATTGGGGTCCAGAGTGGTTATAACCCTGTATTGAAACCTTCAGTTTCCTGACTCGGGAATTTAATCTGGGGTAGTAGGGTTAGGGTGGAGGAAAAGGACAGAATGATTCATTCTCTGTCAGTTCCATTTATTCCGTGGTGACTCCAGCATGATGCGGCAAGATTGGGGGAATCCAGGCCTCTGACCTGGCAGGAAAGATGGGTTAGGCAGCATGTTAGCACACCAACCTTTGCCCTTATTTGCTCTTGGTGAAGACAGCCCTGCCAGGAAGCAGACACTCCTCTCTTCTTGCCGCGTCTTTGCCCCATGTTCCTGATTTATCAGAGATCCCCAGCGGCTCGTGAGTGGGCGCTCCACTCGGATGAGGGTACACAGAGACTGCTGAGAGCCAAGAGGCCAGACGATCACCTCTGGAGTGACAAAGAGGGTTTTTTGGGGGGTGGGCTTAGATGTCTTTGAGCACACCCATAAATGAAAGCTTCCAACTCCTGGCTTCTTTTCAGAAGGCAGGCTTATCATTAACCAGCTTGCCTCCTCTCTCCAAAAGCCTGGCCCCTACCCAGGGCAACAGGGCATGCAAGCATTTAGGTTGGGTGCCTAAGAGACCCGAAAGAGCAATGCCCCAAGTACGGATGGGGACAAGGGCTTTTAGCCCCTCCTGCTGGCTCTGCCCTCAGCTGTGAGCCAGCAAATGTCCTTTCAGGTTTTGCCTTCGCTGCCAATGAAATGTCAGTTTGAGGAACTTTAAAATGGAGGGGTGGGGAAAGAAGAAAGAAGAAAATCCTTTCTTTTGTGCCAGATTAAGCAATCTTCTGACTCAGAGAGCTGCTAAAGCTGTCAACATATGGACACACCTCTTCATGGTTCAAACCTCTTCCTTGTAAATGGCCATCACAGCAGAAGCTCCTTCCTTCCTCCTATCTAGTCCAGTCCAGTCCCATCCAACAAGTGTTTTATTTCCTATTTAGAAAGTGCCTGGCACCGGGCCAAGTGATGGGGGTACAAAGACAAAATGAATATTAGTCTTCAAGGGACTTACATGCTACTGGAGAATGTGAAATAAACCTGGAGAAATAGACTGGAGCCCCACTGGGGAGTCTTCACTGGTGGCATTTTAGGGATTTTGGAGGAAAATAGGAGAAATGTAAGGCTTTTGTTCTTGGGGGTGATATGGTCATCATTGTGAATTATTAAGTTAATAATAATAGCTAACATTGATATAGTGTTTACTATGTGCCAGGCACAGTGCCAAGCACTTTACAATTGGCACCTTATTTGACCCTTACTGGGAGGTACGTGAGGTTATTATCCTTAGTTTAGAGATGGGGAAACTGAGTTAAAAGTAACTTGCCCGGAATCACACAGCTGCTAAGTGTCTTAGGCTGGATTTGAAGTCAGGTCTTCCTGATTCCAGGCTCTGTCCACTGCACCACCTACCTGCCCCTGGGTAATAGTGTGACAGAGGAATTAGAAACTAGAGGCAGGAAAGACTAGCTAGAGTCAGCAATTGGGAAAAGTTAGCATTTTTATTCTTCTCCCCTCCCTTGTCCTTGCCCAGAAAATCTTTGTACCAATCTTTACTTACTGGCTCCTAAAAGTCTTTTTTATGAAACCAGTAATGTGGGAAGCACCAGGGGAAATTCTGCATGCTGAAAGAGGCTTTGAATTTCTGGAAGGCTTGGGTAAATTTCCAAACCCTCATGGAAGCCCCTTTGACACGTGGAGAGAGGGAGTCCCATGTTTCCAGGATAGTCATGGGATAGATAGTCCTACCTGGAAGCAGAACTACTGAGCTGACCTCACTCCCTTTAAATTCTCTGATTCTAAATCTAATGAAAGGTTGGATCAACATTCCAGACCATCACCAAGAGGCAGCAGGGAGTGGCTGCCCTGCTGCTGGATCAGATCAGAACTTGGGAGAACCAGGTTCTAATCCAAGCTCTGCCCCCTGAGTTATTGTGTGACTTTAGGCAAGTGACTTTCCCAGAGGTTCCAGCCTTCAGTTTCTGAATCTGTAATTCTAACAACCTGCTACTCAGATTGCTGAGTGAAGTTGCATCTGGAGTCAGGAAGACCTGAGTTCAAATCGTCTTAGCTACTTCTAGCTGTGTCCCTGAGAAAGTTGCTTAACCTTTGTCTGCCTTGGTTTCCTCACCTGTAAAATGGGGTTGGCAATAGCAGTACTTACCTCTCAGGGTTGTTGTGAAGATAAAATGAGAGAATATTTGTAAAGTGATTTAGCTTTTGTGAGCTCCTTCAGGACCAAGACTGTATTTTGTTTGTTTGGGTATCCCCAGCACAGTGCCTGGCATAGAGCAGGGGCTTAATAAATGTTTATTGTCTGACTGACATTTCAATAAAAGGCCATGTGGCATAATGGAAAAAGAACTGGCTTCCAAACCAGGAAGACCAGGAAGACCTGCTCCACACTGGCTGCAAGCCATCTAACCAGCCTCTGTGTTCTGGGCAACCTCTCTGAGATACAAGGTCCTAACCTGGGGGCTGTGAACTTTTTAAAAAATATATTTTGACAACCATATTTTGATGTAATTGGTCTTCTCTATAATCTTATGTATTTTATTTTATGCATTTAAGAACACTATTCTGATTTTTTTTTGGGGGGGGCTAGGCAATGGGGTTAAGTGACTTGCCCAGGGTCACACAGCTAGTAAGTGTTATGTGTCTGAGGCTGGATTTGAACTCAGGTCCTCCTGAATCCAGGACTCTGTGCTCACTATTCTGATTTGTAGGCTTCACCCAACACTGTAGGAGGGGTCCAGGACACACGAAGAGGTGAAGAACTCCTGCATCTCAGACTAGGAATTGCAGAGAAGGTGGACTTTCAATGCTAGAGGGAGTTTTTTCACCTGGGAGTTCTCTATGCTGATGAAGTCCTGGGTCCAGCACCTCTCCCTGTTCATTCTCTATCCTATCAAATTCCACCTCGGACACTGACTTAGTAGCTGTGTAAGCATGAATAAGTCTCTGAGCCTCTGTTTTTTCATCTGTAAAATGGGCATACTAAAACTGCTCTTGTAAACTCTGCCTTTACCCGGCATTTAGCCCAGTGTCTGGTATCCAGATGTTGTCATTTGTCCTTTATTCTCAAAGAGGGCCATGACATCAGGGAGGCGGGTGAGTCGGATTTAAGTGAGGGGGGCTGTGCAAAGTGTGCTTAATTAATCAACACTTGTTGTCTGCTTGGCATGTGGCTTTCCCCAAACACCGATGCCAGCTGGATGGGATTCCTGTCAGGTTCAAATGAAATACTGTCTGTGTGGTGCTTTGTAAACCTTATTTTAAGATTTATATAAATATTCGTGATCTGTACTTGAGGGATACAAAGAGAGTTCTCTGAGGGGGGAGATCACTCTTCTTCTTCTTTTTTGTGAGGCAACGGGGTTAAGTGACTTGCCCAGGGTCCCACAGCTCGTGCATATTGTGTGTCTGAATCCGGATTTGAACTCAGGTCCTCCCAACTCCAAGGCCGGTACTCTATCCACTGCGCCTCCTAGCTGCCCTGGGATCACTCTCGTAGCTTTTAGCTTTCTAAAGAGATTGGCCACTTAATCCCAACAACCTCTCTTTATAGATGGATGAGGAGACTATCTCTGGCATAGTCATGGGATAGTCATGCCTGGATGCTCACCCAAAGTCACCCAGCTGACAAGTGGCAGAGTAGGGCACCCAAACCCTTCAGGATTAAGGATCTGACATGCTCTTTCAGGTCCCTAATTTTCTGCGCTGTGGCATCTGGTTTTCCCCTTCAAGTGTCAACTGGATGTTATGCCCTAGCCCCTTTCACTTTTCCGAGGGCACTCTGGGGGCTGGTTCCCTCCCAGCTGGCGGAAGATGCACAGAGGTCAGAGAAAAATATCCTTCCCTTTTTTTTTTTTAAAACCAAATAAACAATGCCAATGCATGTGCTAGAAAAGTTAAGATGTATTAATAGCCAGAGATTTTGTTTTCCCATTCTGGTGCTTGTCCCGTTCCACTTGGAGGAAAGATAAGAGAACACATAATGTTCTACTTCTCCACCCTCCACCCCCACCCCAGCACAGCAAGCCAGGGGGCAGGGACCATTCTGTTGAAAGCAGTTCTTAATGCATAGATTCTGAGAAAAGAGAATGAAAGGTTTATGTTCAGTTATCCTTGGCTACCGTTGCTGCTAAGCAGAGAAATTCGATATTGTTGAAACCTTCCAGGCCAAAGGGTTGCAAGGCAACCTTCAAACAATAGGAAATACCCCAAACTAAAAAGAACGGCTTTGAAGGCTGGAAACAGGGGCTTCTGTTTTGGGCATTTTCCTTCTTGATACATGGATTCCAAAATTGGGAAAGGGGGAATATCTTGACCATTTTGCATTTTTTCTCGCTCAGCAGGTCATTCCTCTGCTGGTTGCCACTTTACTGACCGGTTCCCTCCTCCCAGAACCCTCATTTTTAGGAAAGCATCCAGGCCGACCATGTCTTACTTCCTCTCCAGACCTGAGACTTTCTCCATTTTCTCCACCCTTCTCCACTTCCCCCTTTCAACTTCCTATACATTTATCTTCCCCCAATAGAATGTAAGCTTCTTGAGTGCAGGGATGCTCTCTTTCTGCTTGTAACTGTGTCCCCAGCTTTTTAGCCCATTACCGGGCACATAGGAAGGGTTTAGTAACGAATGCTTGTTGATTTGATTTGGGAAAATACCTCTGCATCAGTCAAAGAGGAATCAGAATAATCTGTTCTCCTCTCCTCTTCCCCTTTCCCTCTGCCTCTTGGATTTTGCCTGTGGTCAGTCTTCCATCCTGGGGTGGGTGGAAAAAGGAAGTGGGGAAACTCTTGAAAGGTTTAAAAGATGCTCTGTCGCTCCTCTGCCTGGGCAGATGTTCTAAGGACAGCATCCATTATACTCTCCCAGACTCCCAGACTCCAACTCATACTTGGGACTAGCTGGAACGGGCACTGTAAGTGCTCACTGGAGTGAGAAGGGGTTAGAGAAGAGACTAGGGTAGTGGAAATCGGGATGGATGTGCAACCTGGCCCACGCTAGGAGCTCCATGTTCTCTCCCTTCCAGGCCTGAAACAATTAGCACATTAGCAGGTAAATAGACACTGCACCATGGTGGCATCATCAAAGTCATCTTCCTCTCCTTTACTTTTTTCTCAGCAAGGTCAGATTGGGGAGGATCTTGAACATAAAGGCTAGCATGCTAGACCAGGTTCCGCCATCTTTGGTGGCCACTGATCTGAAGAGCTCACTACATGGAGAGTCAAAGGGCTTAGAACTAGAAGACACCTAATTTCTCATTTTAAAGATGAAGAAATTGAGGATATCGGGGAAACAATGACCTGCCCAAGGTCACACAACTAGAAAGTAGCAGAACTGGGATTCTAAATCGAGGACTCATTCCATTATGTGAACTAAGAGGCTGCCCGACATATTTATTACTCGATGGTCTTTTAATAGGGATGTGTGTTATTTCAATGGGCCAACCAAACTATAGTTAATAAATGGGTAGGGAATGAGGAGGTTGGCACAGGTGATTAGAATTCCAGTTCTTCCGCATCCCCTGGCTCCTTATGGCCAGAATCCAATATAAAATGCCTTGTTTTAAAACCCTTCATACCTTGCCTCCTTCCTACTTTCCCAGTCTATTGCCATCTCACTACCCTCCCTGTAGTCTTCAATCTTATGACACTGGTCTTCTTGTTCTTCCTTGCACAAGACACTCCATCTCCCAGCTCTGTGACTTTTCACTGAGTGACCTCATGTCTGGAATGCTCTCTCTTATCATCGTCACCTCCTGGCTTTCTTCAATTATCGGCTAAAATAGTTTGGCAAAAAGACTTTCCCAGTCCCCTTATTGCTAATGCCTTCCTCCTGAGATTATTT